GAGAAATAAAGTAGGTTCATTCTTTGTTTTTGAGTTTAAGGTTTTCAATTTGTTAAACTTATTCGTGTGAATGTACATTTATCCGGTAAAAGTATATTAGAAAATCCTTTTTTTTTTTTTTAAAGTGAGATTGTAAGATCATGCATTGCAAACCTTAATCTAACATTATAAAACGAAGTAAACTGAATTAAGACCAAATACATTAACTACTTAGCTGTCCAAAGGACAAAAATATGACATCAACCTTAGCCCAATCTCTGGTCTGAGTTTGAAACTTTTTCCTTTGAAAGAGACTTCGATAAAACACTCTGAAAGAAATTTCCTAGGTAGTCTCCATCATGTTCTTTAAAGCATATGGAGCTTGTTATGTTACTAGCAGAGACCAAAGACTGTTCTGCATCACCTATTCAAAGTTCGACAAAAGTCGTAGAAAGATTTGACAGTTTGAAAGGGACAAAAGGTGCTATAAATCTTTCTTAAGTAAGAGCCTAAAGTGAAACAAACACACAACGAATCAAACAACTAATGGCTCTTTCACCCATTCTTGGTTCTCTCATTTTCATTCTCATACCGATTTTTCTCGGGTCTGTTTTCGCCATTTCGCAAATCAAAACCGATACGTTAATTCCAGGGCAGCAGCTAAGAGATTGGGAGCAGTTGACCTCCGCGGGTGACGTCTTCACTCTTGGATTCTTTACACCCACAGAATCATCTACGTTCTTACTCGGTTCAGCTGGTCTTAGGTATATTGGTATCTGGTCCCAAAGGGGTCCAATAAATCCAGTTTGGGTGGGTAACCCAACCGAATCGGTTTCTGATTCATCCGGTTCTCTATCCATTGATACCAATGGGGTTCTCAAGATCACACGAGCAAGTACTTCTCCAATCATGGTGAACCAAAAACCGGTCGGGCGTCTTTCCTTGGCCGGAAATGTCTTTGCCACTTTGCTCGATTCTGGGAACTTCGTGATCCGAGAGATCGGACCAGGAAGAGTCTCGGGTCGGGTTCTATGGCAAAGCTTTGACCATCCCACCAACGTATTACTTCCAGGGATGAAGATTGGGTTTAATCTAAAAACCAAGAAAGAAGTTGCAGTTACTTCTTGGATAAGTAACCAAGTCCCAGCCTCAGGAGCATTCAGGCTAGGACTAGACCCGTCAGGAGCCAACCAGCTATTTGTCTGGCGCCATGGTGAAATCTACTGGTCCAGTGGAATCTTAACGAACAACGGAAGCTCTCAGCTAACCTTACAGCTATCCAGAAGCTACATTGATTATGAATTCAAGTTCGATTCAGACAAGTACATGAAGTACTTCAGTTACTCAATCAAGAAAACTAATGGTTCCGTCTTGTCTAGCTGGTCCTTGGATACTCTAGGCGAAATCACTGTAACCAACGTCCTAAGGAGCAACACAAGCAACACCTGGATTTCTGAAAGCAGTGAACCCTGCAAGACGGATTTAAAGAACAGTTCAGCGATCTGCATCACAGAGAAGCCAACGGCTTGTAGGAAAGGATCAGAGTACTTCGAACCGAGAAGAGGATACATGACGGATAATGGTTATTTTGATAATAGTTTGAGCTCTGGCCTTAGCGACTGCCATGGAAGCTGCTGGAGAAACTGTTCTTGCATAGCTTTCCAAAGCTTTTCTGATGGACAATGCCAATATTGGGGAAAAGGGTCAAAGTTTAACCCTTATGATAGCTTCTCCGGCTTCCAACAAATAACTTATGTTCTTGATTCTGCAAAGTGATGAGTTTGTTGTAAGAGTAATTATGTAACCAGACTTATATCAATAAAGGGCTTTATCATGAAACTAAGGAATCAAGCAGTTCAAATACATGCAACAACTTCCTCTCTTTGCAAATTGATTTAACCACAGCTCCCCAAGACTCAGGCTCTGGTTTGAAACCTATTTCCAGAAACCCAGTCAGAACTCGAACCCCAATTTCTGTATTCCCGGATCCGCAAAGCCGAACAACCAACTCGTTCCAAGTCGCATGGTGAGGCCAAACCCCTCTCTTCGACATTAAACTCAGAAACTCCACCGCTTTCTCGAGCTCACCATTCTTCAACAACGCATTTAGTATGATCCTATAACTACCTTTGTTCAGATGACCTCCTTCACGACCCCATTGATCCAGCATCTGAAGAGCTTCTTTTGATCTACCTTCACTGGACAATCCCCTGAGTATTACATTATAAGTTAATGCATCAGCTCTGCATCCTGATGCCTTCATCTCTCCAAGTAACTCCATAGCCTCATCGATTTGACCATTTCTACACAAACAGTTCATCAACGTGGTGTAACCAACTGTGTCGAGTCTCAACCCGGTTTCCTTCACCTCGTCAAAGATTTGTTTAGCTTCCTGAGTCTTTCCCTCTTTACAGAACCCATTCATCAGAGCCGAGTAATTGTATACGTTTGGGCTGCATCCATTCTTCTTCATGAAGTCTATAATCATCTTGGCTCTCTCAACTTCCCCTGCACGACAGAATCCGTTAATCATAACATTGAAAGTCACGGGATCAGGCGAAATCCCTTCTTGCGAGATCATATCCTCGAACAACTCCATAGCTTCTTTGGACCTAGAGTTTGCAAACAGACAGTCCATTAGGGTGGAGTAAGTGATCAAATTGGGATACGAAATTCCCGATCTTTTCATCTCCTCGACAACTCGAAATGCAGAATCGATATCCCCATTCTTGCAATGGTGCTTCACCAGAATGTTGAAAATGCAAGTATTCGGCTGCAAACCAAGATTACGTTTGGCATACAAGAGAAGTTTCCTTGCCTTATCGACGTCCCCTGAATCGATAAGGAGATTGAGACAAGTACTAAAGGCATTAAGAGAAGGCTTCAAACGAGCAATCACTCCAATCAAGCTAAACATCTCAATCACCTTATCGTGCAAATCGAATCTGGAGAAATGTTCCATTAGGTTAAGGAACACACCTTCTTGAAACCTGCAAGTCTCGTACTTCATCTGATGAAGAATCGCATCAACTGCTTGAAACTTCTTGTGCCTAACGAGATTATCCAAAATCACAGAGTATGTAGCATTGTTATGGTTAAAACCTTTCTGCTGTGACGCTTTGTTGAACACATCAAGCGCACGTTGAGGATCTCTCTCGCGTTTGATCAAATTGACAGCAGAATCGTGGGAGATGAACTTGGTTTTAGGGTTTGTTTCCACAGGTGAGAAGATTGAGGAGGATTCGGGTGGTGGTGAGTCTGGTTTCTTCTTCTCTGAAAAGCAAATCGGAGATACCCATGACCGTGAAGACGATGAAAACCGGCGATGTTCATTGATAATCGAAGTTCTAAAGCGCATTGTATCCCTTGTAATCAAAGAGAATCGACTACAAAATTAGGTTAAGAAAAATGCTTCAGAGAGATCTCGAGTTAAGTGAAGACGACGATGGTGGAAAACCGGTTCGGTTCGATTAAACATTTTCAATGCGCGGTTCGGTTCGGTTCAAAACGTGTAGCTTAATGATTGATTCCTGAATCCTGTACTGTACAAATATCAGA